GCTGTCCCTTCCCCATTTTTTATTTTAGTATTTGCTTGACATTTCATTACATTTTTGAAGTTTTGGTTCTAAATCATAGCATTTTAAAACCATATTCAAGCAATTAAATTACGGGCCTGGGCTGCTGAGCACCCGGACCTGTCACTTACATATGTCCCTGACTAGAGGCTGCCACAAGGCCTGAAGCTTCTGGTTTAATGATGACTGTGGACTGATCGCTAAATGCTAACAGTAATTAAAAGCATGCAGATTATGAAAACACAGCTCTATTGGGATAGCATTCATGAGATGATCTGTGGTGCTTCCTTAGGATCTCTGGTAGGGTTACTGTTAGCCTTCAGGGGAATGTGTTTAAAAAATTATGCTACTTCGCTATCTTTGTTCTCTCAGTGTGTTGAAGTTGTGGTTAAAAAATGAAGCAAAATCTCCTATATTTGGAGAAGTAATACAAAAGAACAAGCTGAGGTGCAAAGCCAAACAGTTTGTGGGCATGAGGAGGCCATAAAGGGGAAAGCTTATGTGAAAATTAATATTCTGAAAAACTGGGGAAAGGAATTATAAGATTTAAAAGAGTATAAAATTGTTCTTTTTCTCTCAGATATATTTGAGGGAAATATTTTTATGTAAGTTACTAAATTTAAAATACGAAGTCAGTTGCCAAACATACCATATTCCAACTGATATTTAAGGGTTTGTACCAATACAAGAACTTTGCTGCAAACATTATACCTCCGGGGCTTGTGCAGGTACTCATTTTGTTTGCTCATTTGCCATCTATGCAGATGTTTTGCAGATCTTCAAAATGTTTTCTCATCTTACAGGCTTTCTCATCTTGCAGATGATAAATGCATTTGACACAAAATAAATGAGAGAAGAAATTATTTTCCATTGTTATCCAGGATTTTAGTTAGGAATTTTGCATTTGCACTGTTTGTCGATGCCATTATTATGCAGTTCAACAAAATCTGCAGCTTCTTGCCTTGCAAGGGAAATGTCAGTCCTGAAATCTGGTAATGGTACTTTTTCTTTCTAAAAGCTTTATTTCTATTTCTCACAGAACTTATGGCATTTGGAAGTGTTATTTATTATCAACTTTATGTTGAAATTATCTCCTTGCTCTTCAGGTTTAGAAAAAAAATTTGCAAATAGCGTTGTTCATTATGTTTTCAATGCAGTTGATAAAATAGAAAGGAAATGTAGTTCCTAAGCAAAGGAAACATGAATTTCCTTACCCATTCATTTCTATTTTCAGTTATACCATGTTTTTTATGTACTTTTATCTGTGTAAAATAGTGGTCAGTCAAATGCCGATGAAAGAAATCAAATTAAAGCAGCAATGCCATGTAGCTTTACGGGGGATTAGAACAGTTCTTAGAGTTAGTTTCTCTTACTCATTTACATATTTTGTGATTTTTCTACAGAAAGTGTGCGCAGAGCTATTTTGAGCATTTAATGTGCTAATTCTTCTGCTCATGATGAAAGTCATAAAACTGTACTGACCCAGAGAGAGGCATTATGAATGTATAATTTCAATTTACATGTGTTCATAAAGCCAAACAATATTGTGCTCTTCTAAAATGGAGATGTGTTAGTAACACGGGTGCATTGTTTGCGTCTGAATGCAGCGTATCTCATAGCACTGCTGTGGTTCAAAGTTGGTTCGTAGTGGCCAAATTCTCTAATGAGATTTAAGGCACTTTGAGCTATTTCTTCACTGAAAAATACATACAAGGTGATTATGTTTTCAAGAAGTCACTCTTTTACAGGATTCTATTTTCTGATCATTTAATTGGTGGCTTATAGAAAGAGCCAACAATTCCTCTGGCTAGTTAAGTCTGACTTTGGCATTTAGTTACAGTCATTTTCCTGTGCATTTGGTCCTCTCCTTATCTAAATTATTGCCTCTCCAATTCTTCCCTCTAAAGATTTTTTTTAGTTTAGCGGAGAGTGTGCTATTTGGAGGGGTAGTTTGCTTGCCTTCCTGTATTCAGAAAACCAAGTAGAGTGTGCTTTTTCCCAACACACCCATATATTCACAACTTGCTAACTCATTACTGGGGATTTTCTGATATTTTATATCTAGAAAGTACTGGTGCTTGCTAAAAGTGACTCCAAATACTTTCCTGCCTAAATAATCCATCTCTTCACTCTGTCTGCTTTCTCATAATTTTAAACTTTGTTGTAGCCCACTGCCAGCACTGTGAGCTTTGAAGGGATTTTGTTAACCCTAGTGACCTGAGGCACACACCCAGTGATTATTGTGATTTGATGTATTGCAGGTTCAATTTTGCTACGATCAATCTAGGAGAAAGGAGTATTTTGGCTGTTGTGTTTGTGTTTATCTAAATTGCTTTAGATTGAGCAAGGCTGGGTTCCTTACTTGTCATGCTTAATTGCTTTTGTAATTATATTGACTTTTCCATGCTAGGTCAGTATTGGTAGCCAGAATTCATCTTTTAAATTGGCTCTGTCATTACGAGTGTCCATAAATACGAAGATAATTGTAAAAAGCTTAAGAACAGTCACT